GGCAGGGGTTGCTGCCCAGGACTGCGTGCAGGAAGGCGGGTCACGGGAGGTTTATATACCTGCAGCTGCGGCAGCTGCATCTTGGTGGAATGAGCCCAAGGTGCACCTGCTTTCGGTCATCTGACGTTACAACGGGGACACACTATTACAGGTTAAAAATGCAAACCCATACTTGTGTCCTGGGAGAGGACAAGGGAATGGGGTGTGCCTGGGCTCATGTCTGGCTCTGCTACCTGTTCTCGGGTGGCCAACAGCCTCGCACGTGGGTAGACCCAACCGGATGCCCAGGGGATGCCCCCTGGAGAGGGCCCGGGGTGTGGGGGGAGGGGTGAGGCTCCCTGGGGAGGTCCCAGGGGAATGGTGGAAGGGGTGATCCCCCTGGAGAGGGTCTGGCGTGTGGAGAGAGGGCGTGATGCCTCCTGGGAGGACCCCAGGGTGAGGGAGGAGGGGGTGATCCCCCTGGAGAGGCCCCAGGGTGTGGAGTGAGGAGGTGATGCCCCCTGGGGGGACCCCAGGGGAGGGGGGAGGGGGTGATGCCCTCTGGAGAGGTCCCATAGTATGGGGGGAGGGGTGAGGCTGGGGGTGGCCGTGTGGGGTTGGTCCTGCAGGGTCAGAGTCACCTGCACGTCAGTGGGAGAGCATCTCAGGGACAGCCTGTACACGGAGCCATGTGGGCCATGCTCGGTCCCGGGGGGGGGTCCGTAAAGGAGGCTGAAGGGTGTCACAAGGTTCCCTGAGTCTGGGGACGTGCCCTGCGCAGAGGCTGGCTTGAGGCAGCAGGCCCGGCCCAGGGGGGCAGGGGCGGAGCGCTGGCTGCAGGGACCTCCTTGCCAGGCTGCGGGATGTTCTTCTTGGTGGGAGACACTCGGACTGTTTAAGATGCCACGGGTGCCCGGCCACGGTGGCCCATGCCTGCAAGCCCTGTGCCTTGGGAGGCTGAGGCGGGAGGATCACTTGAGGCCAGGTGCGGGAGACCAGCCTGGGCAACCCAGCGAGACCTCGTCGGTGAAAAAAAAATCTGTCAAATAAATGAATGAATAAAGGCCACCGGGGAGGATGCCTTCTAAGAGGGGACTTCCCAGGGAAGGAGGGGTGGTGGACGGGAGGTGGGAGGCGGCCAGACCCAGCATGGAGATCCGGGCAGGCGGGGCAGGGCCTGAACCCAGGCACAACGAACGAGAGGGGCAGAGGGGCGTGGAGGCACTGAGCAGGGGGGTCGTGGGTGGGAGGGGACAGGATGGGGCACGGGTGGGGCTGCAGGTCAGAGGAGGGACGGCTCCGTCATCAGCAAGGGCGGAGGAGAGGGAGCAAGGACAGCAGCTGGCCTCGTGGTGAGTGGACGTTGCCGGCCTGGCTGAGGCCTGGGGCTGCCTTCTCTCCCTCAAGAAGACAGGGTCGTCGTGGGGGCGGGCGGAGCATGGGGGTCTGGGTCTTCTTGGTGGAGAACAGAGAGGGCAGTGGACCACCGGTTGGGGCAGCAGGCCGGGCTCCCGTCCTGCAGGGCGAGGGGCTGGCGGGTGGCGGGTGGGGGCCTTCACGCCGGGACCGAGGGCGGGGGGTCAGGCAGGACATGGTTCTGGGGATGCATTCCTGGTGCCCGCCCAGGGGAGGTGAGTGCCATGACCAGCGTCCATCACCCAGGAGCAGGCGGGAGGCACATGACATCCACATTCTTATCGTGTGATCCACCCGCACACCAAAAGCGAAGCCCCTGAGACAGCCGGGCAAAGCTTAGGAAAGAGAACTGAAACACGAGCACTGGGAATGGCTAAGAAATGATAAAAAGAACGCAGCCTCTCCGGGGATTGAAGAAAGGCAAAACACAGCAAGACTCCAGGTTTCCACCTGTCAGATTGGCAAGCGTTTAGGGGGGAAAGGCTATATTTTGCTGGCAAGAGTGTAAATTAGAATAATCTCTCTGGGCCGGCCTCAGTGCCTCAGCCCGTCATCCCAGCACTTTGGGAGGTCAAGGCGAGTGGATGGCCTGAGGTTGCGGGTTCGAGACCCGCCCAGGCAACGTGGCGAGACCTCGTCTCTACAATAAATCAAAAACTAGCCAGACCTGGTAGCGCGCACCTGTAGTTCCGGCTCCTTGGAAGGCTGAGGCGGAAGGATCGCCGGAGCCCAGCAGGGCGAGGCTGTGGTGGCCGGGAGCGTGCTGCTGCACTCCAGTCTGGGCGACAACTCAAAAAAATAAAAATAAAAAGGAGAATAATCTCTCTGGAAAGCAGTGAATAACACCTACCAAGAACACTAAAAATGTTCATGGTTTTCAACCCAACATCTACATTCTGTAAAGTTACCTTAGGGAAAATCAGAAATGCAAGCAAAGTATTAAAAAAAAAAAGATGTTTACTGTGGTGTTTGTTGTTTATTGTAATAAAACAGTGGCCAGTAGCAGGATGTCCGAGCATCCATGATCAGGCTGCTAATGCGAGTATAGTCATGGGGACATGAGGCCATGTGAGAACAGGCTACAGCCCCAGGGAGCCTTGAGGCCATGATGCCAGTGAAGAAAGCCCGTCACAAGAGACCACACGGTGCACGATTCCATTCACAAGAAACGTCCAGAACTGGGAAATCTACAGGGACAAAAGCTGGATTGGTGGCTGTGGAGGGCTTGAGGTGTCGGGGCGTGGCAGCTGCAGGGTGTGTGGTTCTTTTTAAGGCTGTGAAAATGTGCTAGGATTGTCTGTGTGATGGCTGCACACACACAGGAAGATCAAGAACACCCCTGAATTGTGCGCTCTCAGGGGGTGATTTGCATGGTGTGGCAGTGTATGATATTAGGTCTCAATAAAGCTATTTAAAAAACCCTACAATAGATACCTGCACATGCATGTTTGTTGCAGCTCTATTCACAATAGCAAAAACATGGACCCAACTGTGCTGCCCATCAAAACTGGATTGGATTTAAAAAAAAAAAAAGCGGTACATACACACAATGGAATATTATGAAGCCACAAAGAAGGACAAACACATGGACTTTGCAGCAACTTGGATGGATTTAGAGTCGATCATACTCAGTGATTGATCACAGAAACAAAGAACAGAGTGCCATATGTTCTCACTCATACGTGGACCTTGAGCAATTAGCATAATACTATAGGAAAGGGATTGGCAGTAGTGGGAAACTGCCAGCAGAGGGGGGTGGGATTGGCAGTTGAGGGACACTGCCACAGGGGAGGGAGGGGCACACCTCATCAACAAGGGGACCTGCATAATCAACGTTTGTAGACCTAACCCTGAGTTGTACCCCATATCTTTAAAATAAAAATCCAAAACCCTGTGATACCTCCTCCCAAAAAATGCTTACGGAGAGCTCTTCGCAACATGGAAATTGCTAAACAGGAAACGCAGGTTGGAAAAGACAAGCACGCCTGGTTGGACATCGGCTAGGATTGCACGGGGAGAAAAAACGGGCAGAAAACGGGCCAAGGTTACGCTAGCCCTGACCGCACTGGCAGTGACGCTGTCTCCTTTGGGCTGCCCCAGATTTTGCCAACGTTCTCCCGTCCACAAGCGTGGGGTCACAGCCACCCTCGGAGCCCACCCCACGGAGGAGCACAGAGCTCTTCGCATAGCCACAACCTCTCGGGGGACATCCATCCCCGCACCAGTCTCTGGCGGAGGGGGGGG